TTTCTGAGATACCAATGGTGGCACAGTTAAGTTGTTCACCCTGTCTATTTAATGGGTGAACAACAATTTTGTGATAATTGTTTTGAAGCTGCTATGCATCCGATTACCAAGTTTAAGGTGTCGTTGAATAGATCGTGACACGTAGAAATATAAACAGAAAATCAAAACAAAATGGAAGAAACTCCAATCACATGTTTTTATTACAGTGTGGAGTGAAAATATAGAAGTTAGAGAAAGTCTGTACATTACATATTTTTGGTTGAGTTTTGGACCACTGGACGACCTCTAGTTGAAATTAATAGAAACATGAACAATAAGGGTCTATTAGATTTGTTGAAAAGATAAAAATGTACTCTGTTTTTGTGGTTTAAAAATTGGCGTTTAACTGGAAAACTGACGGTACAGCTGATTCTTAAGATCTTTGTTTTACTGAAACTAAATAACAGATATTATTTAATGAGAGGAGAATATTAATATCGAAGGAACAATAATTTTTTTGACTAATTTTATCTATTGTAAGGGATGGCACCTGCATTCCTCTGTATGGTTATTTATGATAGGTGCACAAGAATAATGACCTGAAGTTATTGATATAAGTTTGAAACGTGGTTTCATCTCCGAAAATAATATTTGAATAATATTGAAGGAAGGATTGGCGGGTCCCACGAATTTTGGAAAACACCATTGTTGTGTTAAACAGGAATCTTGATATGTCACCAGGCTTGATTAATGAGTGACTGTAGGTGAAGGAATGAATTTTGAAAACATGTGGAGGAAAATTGTGAAAAAAGAATAAAGTCTTCGCGAAATTAGCAGGACAGGCCAGAGCCAATAGAGGCATTACTAGGAAGTATTTGATGACGCTGTACAAATAGTGTGGAGCCAGCAATGCTTTACGGATGTGAGTTCTGGGGTAAGGATGCTAGGAAGATAAGATCGAAAAGGAAACTTTTGAGGATGCAAAGAAGAGTTTTGTTGAAAGTGGGGAAATCATACAACACAGTATCGCATGATAAGATTAGGGCTTTGATCGGAGCCATGCCACTCAACCTCCTCATTGAAGAAAGGATTAGGATTTTGGAAGACAAGGCCGCAGGTAGGGCTACGTCAGAAAACAAGAGTGCCAGAAGAGTGGAGACATTAGATGAGTTGCAAATGCGCTGGGAGCAGATGAGAAATAAAGGGAAACGTTCTGATATATGCCAAACATCATAAGGAGACTGGAACAAGATTGGGAGATGGGCCATTATTGAATGCAGTTTGTCACAAGACATGGAACATTTCAAGGCGAACAGTTACATTTCTTTAAACAGTTAGGATTATTGAGCCTTCCCTCTCTCTATATATATTGATGCTTACTGTTCATTCAGAAGAATTTTGATCTTCTTTGTGGACAGCAGCATTTACAATACTACATTTACAATACAACACAAGGTGCAAAGACAATTCTCAATACCGAATAAATAACTTAACAATTTATGAAAAGGGTCCTAGTTTCATGGGTATGAAGTTTATTAATAATCTACCAACAAACATTAAAAGTCAAATCCGTTTAAAGAGTTTTAAGAATAATCTAAAAAGTTATATTTTAAACCAAGTATTTTACTCTGTACGTGATTTTTTTACAAAATTAAGCAGTATTGTTATATGTAATTGTGGTTTTAGAGTCAGACAAAAATGTTCTGTAACTTAATTGTATTTTTAGGTTTAAAGATTGAATTGACAATGTCACAAGTTTAATAGCTTTGCTATGTACAAATGTTTTTAGCGAATTTCCCTATAGGGAAGTAGCTATTACCGTAGGTCTCATGGTAAGACCTAGGCCCGGGACCGATTTACTTTTTCATTTTGATGTCCCCAGAGGCCAAAAACACCATTCTTTCAAATTTTTATATATCTAGATATATATATATATGTGTGTCCATCCGCATGTTAACTTGAGTAATTTTTGTCCGATTTTGATAAAATTTGGTTTGAAGGTGTAAGGCGGGATAAACTTGAATGAGATCGCGAACCAGCATGATCGGACTATGTTAACGGAGGTTTATGGGGTAAAAATAGGTTTTTCCCATTTTTGACCCTAAAAACGCAACATTTCACAACTTCTTTCTAAACCATTTTGTAGAGCTTAAAAAACAAATAATTTAGTATATTGAAGCGTTATTATGCGCCTAATTGTTACGGAGAAAATTTAAAAAAATGTTAATTTTAAATTCTCATGTTATTCTTAAGGAGAATAAATCAACTGTTGTAGTTTGCTTGTTTATGAACATATTTTGATCAAATTTGGAAAATACATTAATTTCTTACTAAACTACAGTACAGTGGAGTCCCGATAATCCAAACTTCGGTAATCCAAAAGTCCGCTTAATCCGAAACAAAAAAAATCATTTTCTTATTAAAAAATTTTGAAAATTTTTTGAATTTTTTCTTATTAAACTTTTGACACAGTTAGCTGTACCTCGTCAAAGTATTCTGTAGCGGCTGGGCGTGATAGACTTTTTTGTAGAGTATTTTAGTAAATATTTCACCATTTTTGTTATTACTGTAACATTTTACATTTTCGTCCGCCAAATCACAAATGGATTTTATCAAGTGATAATGCTGCAGCCAATAGGTCTAGCCTTAAGTAATGTGAAAAACAATCCCGGGCTCGTGTCTGCGTCCGAAAAAAAGTAGTAAAAAGTAAGACAAAAAAATTTTCAAAAAATTTTAAAAATTTTAAAAAAACGTTTAATCCGAAATATTCGGTAATCCGAAATGGGCCCGGTCCCAACCATTTCGGACTAACGGGACTCTACTGTACCTTTTAACATTTTACATAAAAAAAAACGTTTACCCTCCCTGTTGCAGCAAACCTAAGTACTCATTAAATTAATTCTGTTTAAATAGGGAATAAATGTGATATTTTTAAGGAGACATTTAAAAAAAATCCAATCAGGCAAATGGAAATTCGCTAAGTCTGCAGGTTTGCTGCGGCGGGGGTATTATGTGACAATAAAGTGAATTTGAATTTGAGGCGAATTTGTGGAGATTTAACTTGGTGGAAGAGGAAGTATGCAGCTGTGCAAAAAAATAGAGACCACGAGTTACGTAGGCAAATAGGAGAGAACAGGAAGAAGTCTTGGATAGGAAAGGTATAGAGATGAGTTCAGAAAATAAACCTTGATGAGAGACAAGGAAACAATTGTGACATATAGGAAAGTATCTAGGTAAATAGGTAGGAACAAGGATACATACTGGCATACAGGTTTTTAAATAGAAAAAAGAAACAAAGAAAGAAAAGGAATTTATACTTCCGCATGAAGGGGAGAGGAAAGGTTAGAGTGAATCTCAATGATCCCTATCACTCAAGGTGTTAGAGGGAAGGGAGCCATGCTGTTAGGGTTTTGGACACATAGTGTGTCTGGACGAGGATTGAAGGTGGCCAAAGCCTAAGAAGATTTTTACACTGGGAATCGGCCTGGCAAATGAGTTCCAGACTTAAGCCAGAGGTGGTGTTGGGAACGAGGGGCTTTGGTTTATTATCTAGGCTATCATCGATTAATCAAAAGAGAATCTTTTACTGACTTACAAAAAAAAAAAAAAAAAAAAAAAAAAAAAACTGCAGAAACAGCACGTCAAATGCGAACTCATTTAGGCCTTTTACCATCTCCAGCTTTCTACAAAAACAAGAAACCAGAAAACGCCCAATAAAAATCAATATTAATCCTTCTTCTCCTATGCCTAGATTACGATTACGTGCACCATGTTCGCTTGTCTTAGTATAAAAGCTATATAGATCATCTCACACCATTCTACACTTATCCTTCACTCATATTTGAGTTAAAATACGCACCTAGGTGGCGTCCCAAGTCCCTAATCACAGTGATTGATAATTGACAATTTACCTTTAAAGGCATTTTCTGGCTTCATTAGAAATCACAATACAGTGTCACATTTAAATAATCCGTAAGTCAATGGTTACTCACATAGCCACTATTAAGCCTTTTCATTGATTTTTAAAATTGATAATCTTGATACTGAGAATTTAGAAATTTTTAATCAAAAATGAAAATATGCAAAAAATTAAAAAAAATATAATTGAACAAGCAAACTACAAGACTTTTACTCATACTCCAAAAGAATAACAGACATTTTTATTTTGCAGTTTTTTTTCAATTTTCTCAGTTACTATGCTACACATAAACACTTCAATGTATAGTTCGGCCGCTTAGAAAACGACCTGGGCGCTAATGCTAAACCAATGCTGGAGGAGGTCGCTTTCTAAGCGGCCAAACTATAGTAAATTATTTGTTTTTATAAGCTCCACAAAAGTGATAAATTGAAGGGGAGATTTTAGGCACAGCTAGCATTGATTTAACACTCCCAACGTAGGTTAGTTTATACTGCTAGCCAGACGTTCTACATTGGCAGTTTCTCTTTCACATTTGCAAGACGTAATATCGGTATTCATTTATTATGCTGGAGAGCAGGAGTGCTGCCACTGAAATGTACTAAAAATAAATCTATTTTTAGGTAGCATAGCATTTAGAACAAGCACCTCTCAAATGTACTTTAAAAAGTTATCTCACTCGCTCTACACTACAAATTGTCTAAGTCTAGTCGTGATATTAATTGATGTGATATTTAATCACACTTTCAAAACAATGAATAGAAAAAATCAATTTATAGTCAAAACCAACATACATTTACATTTTTTAACAAAACTATAATACAATTTAGTTGTGGAAAATCAAATATCAATATTTCAATACTTGGACCAAAACATCGGTAACCTACCATCGATATAAAAATCATCGACTATCGATGCTCGTCCCTACTGGCTGCCCGGTAGAAACCACTTAAGTGGCTTCCAAAAGGAATACTTTGGTCTTAAAAAATAGTTGCTTTGATACTAGAAAAAACATAATATTCTATAAAACGTATAAAAATAAATAAAAGAAATGTTATGGTAATTAGGCAAGACAATTTAAAGATATTTTTCAAAGTTATGTTTATTAACAGGTGCTTGCAGGAATATTTTACAAGTTATTTTTAGTAGGTTAATTAAAATCATGTATTTTGAAGCTTCTGGTGATTTTCATTTACATCAGTTGTAAGCAGTCATTTTGGTTCCTCATTTACTTTTACACTACATGGTACATAAGTATAAAAAGTATATATATATATATTTATATTAAGTATATTATCATAAGTGCATAAGAAAAAATTTTCTACAACAATATTTTATAGCGCCATGAAATAGGATAGCAAAATACATAAAAATGTGAACAATATTTTTTTGTGAAACAGACCGAAAGAAATAACTTATAATATGCGGAAAATGCTAAATTAAGTCTTAAATTCTTTCATGTCTTTCATTGACAACAAAACCACAACAGATAATAATATTTAACAGGCTATTAACAAAGGTGCATTCTGACGAAAAATAAACAAAAATTGTATGTAAAATTGTGTTCTGTTGAAAAAAGTAAAGTGTTGTCACATTAATGAAAAGTAAAAACTAAATTAAAATGTCACTTCACAAAAAGTAAGAGGCTCACAAGGGACTGAAACAGGTCTGTAAAAATTCCTTTTTCAATTAACAAAGTATTTTTTAATCCTATCACACAAGATAGTTTCAAATAAAGTATAGGAATATATCACTTTTTATTTGGTGTTTATGTTTCTGAATATTCTGTCCACTGACATGAATGACACCTGAAAACATTTCTTCAACATTGTCAAGTTGTTTCCCCCTCAGAGATCACCACTGTTCATCATTGTCCTGTCTGTACTGTTTTGTAACATATTGTGTTTATAGGAGAAAAATAAAATCCAGAATCATCAGGCTGGTATGCAATGTCAAAGTGTGTCCCATTTTCTACTGCACGTGGCTTATAGTAATGGCAATGATGCTGTCTACAAGAAAATAAAAATTTGACTGAATATGTTGAATTTGGAGACAAAGGCACATTTCTCGTGTCATCAAGAATAATTGGAATGTCCCTGTTGGAAGCTCCATCGATCAGTCCTTGATATCTCACTACAGTAGGTGGTTCTGTCCCCTTTCGTATTGTTATAGTGCAGTTGCATTGGTGTTGATTTGAACCGGAGCTGTAAAACTTTACTGAGCACAACTCTATTGCGACTGCTTTAGTATTGATAGTTATTGTCGAAAGACTGAGGCTATTATTCACATGAGGTAAGTTCAATCTTTGTTCCATCAATTCTGACAACGGTTTATCCCTCTTAACAATCTTGTTGCAGATTGTTGTCAAGCCAGGCTGTACTTTCTCAGTTCTCTGAGTTTCACCAATCAACTTGAGTTCATCATACGTAAGCACTCCCAGAGGTACCACTTGAGTCATCAAATCTTGGCCAGACAATGTACAGATTCTAATGTGTTTAAGATGGTCATTTAACTCATTCCTCAAGGCTTCTCCATTTTTCGACTCTCCTGAAACTGAAATTTATCTTTTGATGAAAAGAGTAAAAGCTATTCTAGTAAAATTATGCTAAATGTCTAAAACTAAACGAAATACTCCTGTTACATCAAACCTTAAAAAAAAATTTAATATATATGATTGGATTTTTACTAAAATGTTTCCATAAACGTCTTTCTTTAAAAAGTCTTTTCCCTATTTCAATAACATTAGAGTGAATATGTACTTAAGTTTGCTCCAACGGGGAAGGGGACCATGGGAACAGGGGTTTATGGGGGGGAGGGTTTATGGGGTAAAAATGGGTTTGTCCCATTTTTGACCCTATCAACAAAAATTTTGCAATTTCTTTCTAAACTGTTTTGTAGAACTTAAATACCCCCGCCGCAGCAAACCTGCCGACTAAGCGAATTTCCATTTGTCTGAATTGATTTTCAGTTAAATATATTTTAATAACATTAGGTTTAACGAGTACCTAGGTTTGCTGCTACAAGGAAACTAATAAAGTGTGTTTTTGAGTAAAATATTGATAGCTTAGTACAAAATAAATAAATTTGCCAAGTTTGATCAAAATATATCCATAAACAAGCAAACTACAACATTTGACAATATTCTCCATAAGAATAACATGTGAATTTTAAATTTAAAATTTTTTTAATTTTCTCCGTTACTAATAATCGAACAAAAATACTTTTATATACTAAATTATTTGTTTTTTTAAGCTCTTTAAAAAGGTCTAAAGAGAAATCGGGAAATTTTGTGTTTTGAGGGTCAAAAGTGAGAAAAACCAATTTTTACCCCATAAAACCCCCCGTAAAGCCCCGTTCCCATGGTCCGATCGTGCTGGTTCGCGAACTCATTCAAGTTTATCCTGCTTTACACCTTTAAACCAAATTTCATCAAAATCGGACAAAAATTACTCAAGTTATCGCGTTCACGGACGTATATATATATATATATATATATATAAGTCTATAAAGATTAAACATTAATAAACTTAGTACCCAAGTAAAATTATTTATTAAAATATTTACTGACTATAGTTTCGGCTCTAAGGCCACTTTCAAAGTCTCATCAAAAATATCACTTCAGTGGATAAGGTAAGAATTAAACTAAAGGTATGGCAGATGTTCAAAGATTTCTTGAATCCGCCATTTTGAATCTTTGAACGACTGCCATTTCTTACTCAGGCATTCTTTTGAGCTTGAATTTACGGCATCGTAATTTACTAGTGAAGACCTTTAATTTGATGTGCATATCGACCTATGCTTACGTTAACAATTTCCTTCCGATTCCTAGGGCTGTGCCCCCTGAGGAGTAAGCGTATAATAGCAATGTAAATAAAACTAGGGTTGCTTTCAGAGAGGTGAAAGCCAGTTGAGCGGAACAAACGTGATTTGATATTTGTATAAGTAACTAAATGTAAAAAAGTCAAACTAATTCTTGTTTTATTGATTAAAATTATAATAATTCAAATTTAGTTTTTTTACTACATCTTATTAATGAATTATAGCAAGAATAAATCAAATACATTTCTAATAAACTACAAACAATTATTCAATAGGCTATACAATTAGAAATTAGTAGCCTACTTCTGAACAGGCCGAGACAATTATCCATACCTTGGTTAAAAGTGGACTTCTATAAGCCTAGGTAATTAATTATTAACTTATTATTATGGTTGTAACTGGACATATGTATAGTCCGTGGCTTGGCAATCAAATAACAGTATTTATATACGATAGGCTAATGTTATCAATATTTGAAATTACTGAATTGTAACCAAATTACTGTTTCACAAAATGCAGATTCCATTTTCAGCCGAGCCATTAAAATGAGGATTTGCCGAACAATTATTAATATTACAGAATAGTATATAATGATATACAACTTTTCACATTCCATAATTATATGTTAGTTTTGCTATGGTCAAAGGTACAAATCCAAATGTTCTCTTTTCTTTTGGTCAGTATGTAATAATTTGCTAGAATCATTGACTTTATACAAAGTCAAAGCTAGAATACTGTAGATGGTTTGTTAAGTTAAGACCATATGCAAGCATTTTTGAAATCGTTTCCCCGTTTAACCTTAACCAACTATTCCATTCCAAAAGATAAAAATTATATGGTGCAACACAAATAAACAAATCCAAATGTTCTCTTTTCTTTTGGTCAGTATGTAATAATTTGCTAGAATCATTGACTTTATACAAAGTCAAAGCTAGAATACTGTAGATGGTTTGTTAAGTTAAGACCATATGCAAGCATTTTTGAAATCGTTTCCCCGTTTAACCTTAACCAACTATTCCATTCCAAAAGATAAAAATTATATGGTGCAACACAAATAAACAACCCGATCGCCTACCTATAACCTACACTATACCTTCCTAATCTAACCTTACTTCAAAACACTTAATGTAGTCACGAATACTCATAAACCCCGACCTACCTCCCCACATGCCTAAATCAGTGTTCAATCTGCGTTTTATCAAAAAGTGTAATAACTTACTGTACCATCGATGTAATTCAACATAATATAACCTATGAGGTATTATCGGATTAAATACCGTTTTCGATGCGGTTCGATATATCGCTTATTAAATCCTGATTTCTAACATTGGCTGTTTCTAATCAGCTGGCAACACAAATAGGTTCCCAAGAAAGTAGTCACCGGTCCGTATCCCTCCGCTCCTTGTTTATGCTCCGCGCATTGAGAAAGTAGTTCCGTATATTCTCTCGATTTTCAGTGAATTCCGTGCCTTAAAAAAATGTTTTAACGGCATTTTCTTGTTTATTAAAATCATAGGAATGGTTTAAAATCGTTTAAAAGAAAAGTATAGAAAGTTCAGAAATACCTTATGATTCTCTTGTTTACATTTTTCTTGTAAACAAAAAAAACTGTCATAGCTACTTTAGTCCCATAAGCCTAATGTTAAAAATTTTAAATTTTAAGTTCGTTTTAAATTGCATTAGCATTATCTAATTGAAATGTGTTTGCTTACAAACCATCTCATTATTAGTCTAAGTAGTCTTGTTAAGTTTGGCTGAAATGTGTTCAGCCGTTATTGAGTGATGGTGTTATATTGTTTGCATTGAAGTTGATCCCAAAGAGCTTCGCTCGCTCCGCTCAATGAATCTTTGAACAACTGTCATTTTGCGCAAGATCGAAACCTTTTGAAGTGCGGTTTGCGGCATTGTATTCTACTAAAAAAGACCTTTAATTAGATGTGCATATTGACCTATGCTTCCATTTAAGATTTTCTTCCGACTCCTTGTGGGCCGTCCCCCTGAAGAGCTATTAGATCACTGAATATGTGTTAAAATAGAGTTTTATGCCCTATATCTTTGTACTAAGTATTGTAGCTCTATCTGAATTATTTTTTAAAATATTTAACTGTCCTGGGACTTTTATACCACTCTGTATTAAAGCGCTGTTGTATGCCTAACGGTCACGGAGAAAATTTAAAAATAGTGTAATTTAAAATTCCCATGTTTTTCTTATGGAGAAAATGAAAATTGTTGTAGTTTACTTATTTATGGATATAGGCCTATATTGATAAAATTTGGCAAATTCATTTATTTCATCCTATACTATTGACGTATGGTCAAAACACACTTTTTACCTTCCCCGTAGCAGCAAACCTAAGCACTTGTTAAATCTAATGTTATTTAAATAGGGAATAAATAAGTCTTAATTTTATGGAAATATTTTAGTAAAAATGTAATCAGACAAGTTGAAATTTGCTTAGTCTGCAGGTTTGCTGCGGCGGGGGTATATTAATAACTTTCTAACTAGACTATATTAATAACAGTTGATTTTCCTTCTCTGAATCCAAATTATGAATCTGTCAACATATTATTGTTGTGCCATTGTCTGGGGCAAAGCATGTATATAATCTTTATTATCAGTAAAAAATATTGAATCAGGAATTGTTATTTAAATACTACAAAAATATTTAGAAATCCATCAAATTGTGTGAGAACACTGATTACCTCTATGCCTAGCCCATTCAATGGCAGAGGTCCAAAGGTCAATTTCAGGTACGTTGCACATCTCCTGTTGCAGGATTGTTAGAAAGCCGAGGGGAGACATGTCAGGAAACAGAGGACTAGCCAGAACCTTGTCTGTTTCCGTCTGGAGTATCTGAATACAAGAACAATCATTTCAACATTGCTAAAGGTAAATATCAATTCAATATTGAGTAAAAACAGGACAATTGCTGTCTCGTATATCTGAGAAAATTAATACTCACCATCAATAGTAATTAAGTCTATTTTTTCTAATGTTTAGCATTTTTAGTTCATAAAACTGATCTTATTATCTCTAAAATTAATTAATAACATTATTGCTAGAAGAGAAATTTGACCTCTGGTTTTTGTGTAATCTGGGTTACACAAACAATTATAAGTTTTGACAAGGATATCTACAATGAATTATGCAAATTATGATTCCAATAGCTTTTTAGATACCCAATAATACCAAAGTGTGAGATATGTGGTTGTTATAAATTTACAAGATGTAAAAAAAACCCAAATAAAACTGTAAACTGGTACTGATTTCAGGATCCTTCATATTCTTTATCTAACTCACAATACAAATTATATGCTGCAATATTTTTTTTCTTTAAACAATATACTGAAAAGTATAATCTTAATTTAAAAATTACCATTTAAGTTAGCGATTTTATTTATATGCCCACCATTTCTAGAGTGACCTAAATTACAAGTAGGACCTGACATTACACAGTGACTCAAACGCATAAATGGGGAACTTCTATGTATTAAACAAAACTTGTGTTATCCTTTATTATAAAAGTGTCACCTTTTCATTATTATCGTCTGCTAATAACCGGTCACATAACACTAGACGAGGTTCGTAATTTTCTCGCAAACGTCAGAGCCAAATTCTTGCCGCCCACATTGTTGTATAATCCCGCCCATCATCAGAATAGGTCAAGTAAACAAATTAAACAGAAATAATTTTCAATCATATTGTGGGTTGCCAAAAAATTAATTCTCTTCAGACTTTATCGTTGTTTTCCGCGTTCGTGGCTGAATTCTGATCAACTCCTGTGGCCGTGAAGACAGCATTCTCGTCTCCCAAGGTCACAGAAACGACATCGTCTTCCACGATGGCGGCAACATTTTGATCATCTTCCGCGGTTCTGTAATCATAGTCATTTTCTTCAGCGGACACGGTAAAACTGTTAATAACCCCCACGGTAACGAAACATCATTATCGTCATTGACGATTGCGGGAACATTTTGACAATACATGCATTAAAAAAATATATATCCCCAGAGGGGGGGGGGGGTTGGGTCAACCCCTTTGCCCTCCACCTCTTGGATCCGCCACTGCTTATCAGACAATTCTTGGTAGGGATCCTGTTTGATAAAGGACATATAGCCATATCATATGACACAATCCTGGAGCTATACAAATGTTGTACAAACTTACCCCATTAATCAATGAGTTTAGCTCGAGAACGGTGTAACAAGCAGGGTTATTCATAAGGCTGCAGATGTTGGTGACGTTCAACAAAGACATAAGGCGTATTCCAAGCCTTTTTTTTAACTTGGACATGAAATATTTGTCTGCAACGTATAACAAGTTGTCTGCTTCATCAAAGGTCAAGTTTTGAGTGTTATCGTAGCCGTAAACAAATCTGAAAACAAAAGATTTAAATCATTTTAAATTTCCACAATATCTCACAACTATTCAAACACTTTTCTGATTAGCCGGGAAATTTAACTTACCTTAATAAGTTTCTAAAAGTTTGGGGGAAGACATCAAGTAGTTTAACATCATTTTTTTCTGCTATCTTTGAGTTCTGCAATTCTGCTCTGAAAACCACAGAGTGGGCTAGAAGCATCTTTTTCACCACACCAATCCTCTCCTGCAAACAAACAATAACTAACTGATGATGAAGAATAAATAGTTTTGATGGGAAAATAAATAATCACCAGATAAATATTGGCTATTTATCCCCTGCTTGTTTTGTTAACTAGCAAAGAGCAAACATAAGTAGGTCTATTTGTTACACATGATGTTATTTTTAAGCTTACAAAATAAACCTGACAGACATGTTTGAGAAAATATTCAAGTGAAGTTGAATCAGGTCAATGGAAATTCACCCAGGCTGCAGGTTAGCTGCAACAGGGGTAACTGACTTTAATATTTAATTGTTCAATAATCTAAAAACCTCTTTTAAATAAAAATAATTTGTGTTGCCCAGCTTTAAGTTTTGAATCGACGAAGAAAGATTAAAGTTCGACATAGCATACAGTTCAAAATTTTTTTTACGTCTTAGTCTTAGGCAGTCTTTTTGACTAACATGGCAGCTAGTCAGTGGGATATGGCGTGTTCCGTTATAAAAAGAAAGTTACAACATATGATAACAATAACAGTGATTCAAAGATGGGGATGCCACCTATGTGTGTATTTTAACCCAAATATGAGTGAAGGATGAGTGTAGAACGAAGTGTGATGCCCTTTGTAGCTTTGTTACTAACTTAGGGTGCGATCACAAAGAAAGCTGGTTACAAGTAACTTACTTTCAGCACTGGTTCCAAGCGCTTGAGAATGCTGTTGTGTGTTCACAACAAACGCTTGCATTTCAAGCTCAGTGTAGTCCCAGCTCTGGTTGAGACAATGTCTTCCTCAAGTGATGAAGAGTATTTGATTGAAAAAGTAGAATTAAAAATTCATAGAAGGAAAGTAGATGTTCATGCAATTAATCGCGAAAGAGGTAGGTTCGGGGAATACCACTATCTATTTAATCAATTGAAATTGGACAATGTGAGGTTTTTTTTCTTATATGAGAATATAGTTAACCACGTTTAATTACATCCTCGAGAAAATTGAAAGTGTTTTAGTGAAGTTTTTGAGGAATTGGCATAAGCAACCTATCCATGTACCAGAACAAATTTTTGACCAATAATAAAATCTAAAAATACTCTAAGGGAGTTTTAAGCACCCTATGTAGCAGATTAATTATAATGCAAATAATATTGTGAGATATATTCAAATGTTTTCATTTTCTAGGTAGGAAAAGTATACAAGTTTCAACTAAAAAAAAATCCAACACTTAATTAATATTGAATTAAATGTGTTTGTCTATCATCTCAATACATATATGTTATATTTGTCCTATTGGTTAATTGAACATTCTAGGGAAAAAACCACAATATGTGGGTAGTATATTTTTTTTTGAAATTGGAAGCTCTAAATACTTGAGCTATCAACTCATCGACATCCATGCACTGTTAGTAGTTTGTACAACTGACTGGTTCGGTCAACGAGCGCCGGAAAACAAGTACGAAACGTTCTTGCGTGCTTGTCAGAGCTTGTAACAAGCGCTTGCTAGCCGGCACAAGCTTTGTCTGTGAACGCACGCTTGATACTATGTTGACTTTTCTCACGCCGGTTCGAGCTTGCAAGCGCTTGCCAACAAGCGCTTGTAACCAGTATTTTTTTTTTGTGAACGCACCCTCAGACCAGCTATCTCTTGGTAATGAGATTAAGTAAACTGTCGTAACAGTTCTGAAATAGCATTGCATTTCTTCATCAATATTAAATGCAGACTACATGGAACTGTATTTACTTAAGTCCACATTAATTAAGTTTTACTGGATTTGGTCTATGAGCTTGGTGTCATTATATTTCCTAAGTTTAAAATATTTTCAGCAAGAGCTAAGTAGGCTGCAACTTATAATCAGTTGTTTTAACAAGACGTAGGAATTGGCTAACTCAGGAACTCGCTAACTCAGTCGTGTGTCGGAACTGGCTAACCGTCTCAATCAGGAATTGGCTAACTCTGGAACCTGCTAAACTCGATTTTGTTTCGCGGTGGAATTTGCTAACTCTGGAAGTCGCTAACCCCGCCGCAACCACTGCGCGGAGCGTTGCCAACCTTGTACGACGAAATAATCGTACACTGCCGTATTTCAAAATGTCAGTGTCAATAAAAATATAGTAAATGTTATTGTTTTTTTGTCATCAATTCCACTTTTAACAGCTACCTAGCCCAAAGTAATTAAAAAATCATTGAAAAGTGATTTTCTATTTAACTGTAGGCCTACAGCGGCCAATTAGATGTTTATGATTTCACTATCAATAAAATATAAATGCCATCAGTATTATAGGAAAATATTGAACATTCAGTAGTACCAATTAAACCTCTATGATATTAAGCTAAAATACACACAAGTTCTCAAATACAGAAAACAAATTTAATCGTAATATTGTAATAAACCAAAACCATTAATTAATACAGTCATTAACCATCGTAACTTTCATAACTAATTCAAAATATTTAAAATTAAAGGTTCGTCGTTGAATCGTTCAACTTACGTGTGAAAATATGACATAGACTATGTTTCATAACAGTTTGTAGAATAGCTGTAAATCTAGGCCTAATAGTTTAAACCAAAGCATTGTAGGCCTACTAGTAAAAGCTAGTTGCCTAATTCTAAAATGTGTTAATTTTTTTTAGTAATAATGTTACATTTTTTACAACAGTTTTTAGATTGTACACCTAACCCCACTAGTAAATAATAGGAGAAGATATAATATTCTTATATTAAAACGTGGCAGGGTTATTTTATTTCACGATTCTTAATCAAGGACTTGACGGATTTTTCTGATGCTAGTGTTGAGTTTCTTTTATATTACTTTTACAATCGCAATATACTATACCAAGCCATTGCTCAGTTCCCCGTTCCCCGGTACTGAGCTACCCAATAGACAATAACTTTGTTGTTGGATAAGATCAGCTAATTTTAGCTATAGCCACCATTCATAAAATGGTAACAAACAAGAACGCCTGGATCCATTTAGAACCATAAAAACTCCTGACTTTTTAAAAGTACTGGAAGCCGTAAAGTTAATATTAATTAAACAAAATACAGTAAACCCTCTCATATCCGGACTAATGTGGCGCCGGCCGATCCGGATAACAAAAAATCCGGATATGAGAGAAACATTGTTTTAGATGAGAAAACAGCTGTACAACAACTACGGTACTCAATTTTAGTAAGCCTTAAATACGGAAACGTTTGATTATTAAATAAAACAACGGTATTTTGGTTATAATAACACTTTAATAGAACAACTAACCTCAAAAAATATTACGTAATACAGTAACGGTACAGTGAAAAAATGAAATGGAACTAAGAAAAACACTTTAATATAACATCAAAACTCAAAAAATATTACGTAATACAGTAACGGTACAGTGAAAAAATGAAATGGAACTGAGAAAAACAATTTAATATAACATCAAAACTCAAAAAATATTACGTAATACAGTAACGGTACAGTGAAAAAATAAAATGGAACTAAGAAAAAGACAAGTAGGCCTACTGTAATGAACAAAAATGTAGAGCTGTATACAGAGTAAAATAAAATTAATCCACGAGAACAGCTCTTACTTTGTACTCACAGTTAAGTTTTGGACAAAAACGGTGTTATTGTGGCTTGTTTGGCTCGATTAACACGCTTCTTTGACGTAATGTCTCTCCACCTACGAAAAAGCAGAAGATCGGCTCCCGTTGCTTCCTCTTGTTTCTCGACATACTCGATCAGCTGTTCGATGGCCTGGAAAGCCTCACTATGCGTCATGGTTGTTTTCTGGATTTCTTCTTCTTCGTCGTCGTCAGGAGCGGGGTCTGCGTTAACTAAGTCTATGATGTCATTGTCAGTAAACTCCTGGATTTCGTCTTACTTCATCCACTCACTCACTGCGTCACTATCTATGTTGTCACAACCAGGAACGTTTCTAAAAAGTTCAACGATTTCTTCACCTGTTTTGTCATTGCAGTTTTCTGTTTCTTTTTCTACTTCTTTGTTATAATCTTGGTCTACTTTGTGGTCTAAAAGCTTTTTCCACGATTTAACCAACGTTATCGGTTTGTTTGAGCTCTTCCCAAGCGCTAGAAATCCACAAGGCAACATCTAGCATGTCAGTGTCTTTAAGGCACTCAGAAACACTCTTTCCCACATCCATGCCCTCAATAATGATCGTCAGTAGCTTACGTCGATACAAACGTTTAAGTGTTTCAAGGACCCCCTGATCCATTGGCTGGCACAAAGAGGTTACGTTCGGCGGCAAAAACACGCACTTTATTTCTCCACTTGTTAGTTCATCTGCAGACGGGTGTGAAGGGGCGTTGTCAAGCAATAAAATAGCCTTCTTTGGCAAATTGTTTTTTTTCAGCAAACTTTTCAACAGACGGGACGAACTGATTGTTAAACCACTCTCTGAAGATCGCAGAATTCATCCAAGCGCTTTTTTGTCCTCTGTACCACACCGGTAATGTCGACTGATCTTTGAAGTTTTTAAACGCTCTTGGTTTATTTGATTTTCCAATCATGCAGAGTTTGAGTTTATTGTTTCCTGTGACGTTGCTGCAGGCCATTATTGTAACCCTCTCCTTTTTCTTCTTATAACCTGGAGCGCTATTTTCTTCCTTGGAAGCGAGAGTGCAGCTAGGTAGCATTTTAAAGTTCAGACCACTTTCGTCACAGTTGTATAACTGGTCCCCGCTGATTCCTTCCTCGTCAAGCAGCTTGTGTAAAAACATTTTAAACTCTCCCACAGCGTTTTCATTTGCTGACAACTTTTCTCCGCTTATATGAAGCTTTCTGACCCCATATCGATTCTTCCACTTTTCCAACCACCCCTCACTGGCTTTGAAATTGGGATCACTTCCGATTTCCTTATTAAATTGGAGAGCCTTTTCCTGCAAAATGGGTCCAGACACGGGCAGTCCTTTTGATCTACATTGTGTAAACCACAAAAATAACGCTTCGTTCACTTTGTCATTTACGGCCGTTTTCATCATTTTGCACTTTTTTATTCCTGAACTTGATGCCTGGTTAGAACACCATTTTTCTATTTTTTCACGGGATTTTTTCCAGTCACTCACTGTACTAGTCCCCACTCCCATCTCACTCGCTATCTTTTTTGCACTTTCGCCCGCTTGCAAACGTTTCAACGCGTTAAGTTTGTCCTCCATCGTAATGACAATCTTTTTTCTTTTTTCGGCCATAACAATTTCGCCTCTAGCACTCTTCCTTCCCGAAACTAAAACGAACCGTACAAACAATGACTAGGTCACTGAGGCACAAAAAAAGCAGCACTGACAACTGACACGAGTGATGAATTGTCGTCGCCGCGCATGAGTAGGGCGTTGGCGTGGGTAGGAGGGGCGGGTAGGAGGGGTGGGGGAGGGATTCTATTTTTGTTTCGTGAGTCAGTGACCTTGCCCGCGAGACTGCACGTCGCACAACCCTCCCGGCGCGCCGGCGTGTCTAACCGGCCTACAATCGGCGACTGCTCGGTCAACAAACATTCGCCCTAGTGTTTTTTTAATTTTTGCATTTTTTCAAAATCGCGTCCGGATATCGGAGGGTCCGGATATGGGAGATCCGGATAAGAGAGGGTTTACTGTAAAGAGGATGACCCGGGTTCTACACTAATAGCCTACGATAACATAAATTAAAAAATTTTATATTTATGCATAGACTAATCTTTAATGCAATCCATAAATATATTACCACTTTATAATGTAGGCCTATTGATTTAAATTTATTTAAATTCAATAGCTCTATTTAAAAATATATTTAACACTACTACAATGTTTTCTGTAATGACATTTAGGCTAACGTGTAAATTTTATCAGGAAGTTAATCCTCAAAATTCTAGGCATTAAGTCTACGGCAATTACTGGAGCCTCGAATAGGATAGACTATTACAATACTGCTTCAATTTTTGTTAAAAGATTATATATGTTTCCTAACAACATACTGTAAGAGCATTAAAATTCCTTTTCTTGGCTATAAGGCTTGTGTTTTGTTTACAATTTGTTTCTTGCTTTCAGTCCTTTAAAACCTCATTTAACCAAATAAAACGTTCTTATCATAAATAATAACACGCCCCCTAGTTATAACCAAACAGTAAAGAACAAATCATGAAATAAAAAACAAAAAACAAACAACAAACAAAACAAAAAAAAACAGAAAAAACAAGGTTCAAAATTTACAATGGGATGTAAAGTTTACTTGGGTTGGTTAGTCTATGGTAAGACTATAATGCATTGTCCACCCTAATAATCATAAGAAGAATAATATTAGGCTAAACATACTTCTGAATATATATTTATTTTATCGACTACGTTGATCTTACTCCTAATTATTCGTAGGATACAACATTATGGTACCGATACGATCGTAGGTACAACACTTTCGGCAACACTGGCCAACAATCTTCGTGCTTGGCTCCCATTGGACGGCACGCGATGCTTCTGATTGGGAGTTAGCGAGTTCTGCCGAGGGACCGAGTTAGCGACTTCCGTACGAGGACGGAATTCACTAACCCAGCTCTAGAGCGAGTTAGCGGGTTCCGGAGTTAGCCAATTCCGAAACCGAACAAGTTAGCGAGATCCTCTCATCGATCAAATTTGAAGATAGGGCGTTTAACATGGGGTTAGCGAGTTCCAGAGTTAACCAATTCCACGGATCCCAACAGTATAATAAGTTTACCGTGTCTCCAACTTCAGGGTTTCCCACTACGAAGTAACAGTTGTACTGCTCTTCAGGGTCAAACAGAAAGGTGATGAAATCAGGATCATCTGCACCTGCCACAGCCACTTGCATTCCACTGGCCTTAGCCGCAGAATCAGGGCCTAGCGACATCCTGCAAACAATCACAGCATTTTTTACTAACTTCGGCTTTATTCAATTTGTTACTCTGGCTTAATAAAGGGCTTTGATTTGACTTCAATAGTATGAAAACTCTTAACATTGTCTTACCTGGACCCAAAGCCAAAGGACTTGGGCTCCAGCTCCCCCCCGCAGGACCCCGTCCTCCGGTGCACCACACTACCCACCAAAACTGACCCCCTGATCAAGTTCACCGGCCTACTTAAAGCCTTAACATCTTTCTGTAGGTCAACACAAGTTATTGTTTTACAACATTACCAGCCTACTCACACAACATTGCCAAACACTTCCTCCCCCCATTACAAAACTTATTACTGAAGTTGTTTATAAAATAGAAAATGTTATAATAAACAATAAAAAAACGTAAGTTATAAAAAAGACTCAGGCCTACTTTATGTAAATACATATAGGCTACAGTAGGGCCTACCGGTACCGTACTATTGTATAGGCCTAAGATAAAAAAAATTGCAATAAGTAAGTGTATGTAATGGTCTTATGAAAAAAATCATTTGGTACAAGGACAACTTATTTTATCAAAGCTATTAGAAAAAATGCTTGGTGTAATGTAATTTATTCATTGCCCCTAGGTGTAATGAAAAATAAATACTTTGTTAGAAGGCCTATTACTTAACTTCTTACTCATTATTTCAAAGCTCTTTTTCAAAAAAAAAGTTCCCGAACAAACACACCGGTAGGTCTTTCCACTGTCCTCCCTTGAAACCTAAGTCAACAATCACGCAGTTTCTTCTTATTCATCCATTTTATAATATCACAAAATAAGGCCGATGAAAAGGCAGCACACTGAACTAGGCTCCGGGAAACCCATTACATCACATTGGAAGCTAACTTACTTCCAGTATTGACGCGAACCTCTCCCCAAAGTTGACTGGCAACTGGGTAAGAGGTATGAGTAGCCGAAACTGATTCCGCGAAAGAGGTGCGTGAGGTAGGCTACGTACGTCAGGCAACAGCCCTGCCAAACGCAAACTACTTATGGTTTTTATAACGAAAAATATAGTGACCCAGGGCTGGGGGTAACTTCCGTGATGGGCCCGATGGAAGGTTAAACAGCAATATCGCCGATATCCTTAGTAATATCCTTTCGCTGTGAAAAATAACGTAATGGTATATTTGGATTCAGGAGGTACAAAACTAAGTTATGAAGTAGGCTAACTTATGATAAGTTAGGCTATACAAATTTTAAGTAATTAAGTTACGTTAACTCAAATGACAATAGTAAATTAAGTTAGGTACTATTAGGCTAAGTACCGGTAGGTTAAGTTAGGCACAAAACAAAATATAATAGAACACGTTGTGCAGGGACATCTGTTTAAGTTTATTTAACAAGTGAACAAAAATCAATTGCATCAGCAATTAGCCTACTGTAGGCCTAGACTAGAGAAATGTGATAACCTAGGTTAGCCTATGTAGGCTGTTAAGTTAGGTACTCGTCTTAAGGTTGTTTTGTAACGTTTATTTACTGTAGGGAAATTTATTTATTTCATATGAATGGCAAAAGCCAATTTCTATAAGTTTGATTTGTGATCAACAAAATACGGCTTCACTTTTTTAGTTTGTCCTAGGCCTACATTTACTCACATAGGCCCTAGGCTAACTTACTGCAGTTTGGTTAAGTTTAGGTTTAGTTTAAAGAATTGTTTCATAATGTTATAAAAGTAAATGTAGGACGTAAACTAAAGTGCAACCCAAAATACCCCCACTGCAGCAAACCAGCTGACTACCCAAGTATCGTCCTGAGTTAGACAAAAATTTCCATTTGCCCTTGCTGACATTTTTTGTATGTAGGAGGTTGTATTAATAGTCAAAGGTAGGAGGTTAGGCTACATCATAATTCATAAGAAATGACATTTAATGATCTAGTAGACGCAATTACATGCAATAGATTTTCCCTACAGTCACCCGACAACGTTGGCTTCCATGTACTGTTTATAGTACAGAAAGCTGCTAATTACTGCATAATAATACTTTGTCGTACGGTTTATACTTTGTCGTCACAGTTTATTACTTTGGGCGCACATCAGGATTCCAACGAAACAACACAAAACAGCGTGGTTCTATTATGCACGTAATCCGTGTACGCTTGGAAATAGGTTGGCAACACTTAAAGATAATAATACTATGAGCAGCTGATTGACTATTATAAATACGATTTAACCTGTCATTTTGTGTTTATAGTTTCGGTAGGCTATTTCTGAACTTTCTGGTCTTTTCTTTTAACCCTCCGAGTGTCCATAGTTTAGGCCTTAATGTCCACCTATTTTTGGACCCTTTGCAAGGTTTTATTAAAACGGATCTGAGAAGCTTAAAACAATGTTAATTCTAATGTTCTATATACCATTTTGTTTGGAAAATCATGGGCTTCAATATTATATATAAAACATAAGGAACATTTAAAAAAAAAAATTTTTAGGTAAAAAAAAATATAATTTCGAAAATTTTCAAAAAAAAAATAAGTTCGCGCTCAATGAAATTGTATAAATTATAGGCCTATAAATATTTGAAAATAGCCACTTTGTTCTAAATTTAATGAGGATTACAAATATATAATCATATAGCGAGGTAAGTTATCAAATAAATAAGTTATGAGCGAAAAACGGAATTCAGTACATAGCGTTTAGCTAAGAATGCATAGCCTAACCATAGCTAGGAATCTGGCTGATAATTTACATCAATATCACTACCTACTTCTTCAGGATCATCAACCAGCACTTCAAAACCACTTAAATCTTCTTATAATGCACCACGTATATCACTACTTTTGATTTTTAACACTGAAACAATGATAAACGTAATAAAACACATCAGTCATCGGTCCGGGGGAACCTAGCTGTTTACAAATACACGAACGTCAGCTGTCTGCATCAATTATGATCGGCTAGGAGAAAAATACAGCGCTGAGACAGACATCTGGAGACAGCTTAGAATGTAACGGAAAGAACGATACCTAACTCGATCCAGTTCAATCCGATTCAGTCAGTTATAGAGCCTTCGCCGTAAACGATGTCTGCTTGTCGAAAAATCGGCAAGTAACACTATACAAAGTGTGGTGCTTGCCGAATTTTCGTCAAGTAACACTGGGAGGGTTAAACGTTTTTATTTTAGGCGCGGAAACCGTTTCAAATTACAAAAACATGGAACTAGGCCTATAGCCTAGTCTATTCTCAAGTAAGTTTAGCGGAGCACATTTCTTGCCGAGGAAAAATAGCGGAGTGATACGGACTGGGTACTACTACTTTCTCTAGGGCACCTATTTGTGTTGCCAGCTGAACCTAAAAACGTGTTGTATAGGCCTAGTATTTGAAAGACTAATTATTTATATGCTCTAAAGTGACTGTAGGAAAAATATAATGTGTAACACGAGTGCAAAAGGCCTTGGCTGCACTCGAGATCATTCCGCACTAATAACTACCTACCTATTTCGCCAGACTACATTATGTTGACGAACTTCCCACACAAGTATTTAGTCCAGAAAACAGCTGTTTGCCACCAGCTTATTCAAATGGGGCTTCATTGCGTACCACTGTTACTGTAATGAGTTTTACCGGACACTAATCAGCTTGGCTAAGTTTACTGTATTTAGTATTTAGGTGTCAATGAGTGGTTAAACAAAAAAATAACCTCTCAATGAGTCAATGACTAGTGATTTTTAGTCCTTTTGGCAATAGGCCTATATAAGGATTTGTACAGATTTTGTAGTATGGCGTAAACTATTGTACGTAACTCGTCCAAAATGTGTGTACCAGACTCGTATAGTAATCCCGTACTCGCGACTTCGTCTCGCACGGGTACGACCACACTTGTCTGGTATACACTTAGGCTGGTAACTATTGTCATGGAAAAATTGAAATGAGCAATCTCACGGGGTACAGTTTCTTAACTGGGCTATGCTAATATATTATCGATTGAAACTATCGATTCGATTAGAAATCAGAAATATTTATTTGTCATTGGACATTACAAAAATGCATTGACAATTAATTGTCATGTGTATATAGCATGGCTACAGTCAGGCTAGACATTACAATTAACATTAGTAGGCCTAAACATTCATGCGATTTTTTCACCATCAGCAAGTTTGGTTGGTTAGGTTATGATAGTTTAATTTGATAAAAAATATAGCCTAGCCTATTTAAAAATATCGATTATTAATCAATATTTTCAATTCGATAGTTTCAATCGATATTAGCATAGCCCAGTTAAGAAACTGTACCCATCTCACGAATTAGCCTATCTTGCCCTAGGCTACATTTCCATTTCACATTCCTGCTTAGGCCTATGTTAACTGTTAACTTAGATACAGTTTTTCTGGTCTCTTACCTTGCTTTTTTGATTCCTGAATGACTCCTACTCCAATCCCTAGGCCTACGTCCTGACATTATTTTGACTAAGGGTAACACTTGCCGACTAGTCAATTAATAACAATAATGGTCCTACCCTACCGCTACTAACTTTACTTATTAGATCTAGATGTTGTTTAGATGTAAATGTATAGCAGGAGATGCAACCCGTTCCTCATCAGTATTCAGTAACAGTAACTGCCGAGTGCCGAAGAGCCGAACCGATTACCGAAGCCCGGAAGCCGAACTGGCGTAGGCAGGCGTACTGGACTGGCGAAGTGGCGAGGGGCGACTGGTTCCGGTTGGTGAGTGAGTGGCGTGGCGATGGCTAGCGTCTTGCGGGCGAGCGCGAGCGGCGACTCAGGCGAGGGAGCTGTAGCTGGGAGAACTGCTTGTGCGAAGGAGTGAGGGGCGTGCACTCTACTCTTAAAGGAACACCACAAATGGGTGGGGGTTTATAAAGAAATCAAATCGAAATCACCATTAAAATCTTATATATTAAAAAACTTTTGCAATACTTACGACAACCATGACCATACTACTGGACCGAATTACATGCAGCTAGTGTCAAATGAAAGATATTTTCCTGTAGATGTGCAGAATCCCCTTATAAACTAAAATAGGCTCAAAAATAAGCATGAAAAATGAATTTTTAATTTTAAAAAAATTAACATGGGCCTCATGTTAATCATTTTGTCATGTTAATCATGATGGTGACAAAATATAAACAGAAAATCCAGACAAATTCCAATCACATATTTTATTTTCAGTGCGGGGTGATAATAGAAAAGTCTGTACATTAAATTGGTCGAGTTTTTGACCAATAAGAGGCGATCTCTAGTAACTAATATAAAATTAAACTTTTGTTATGGAGACTTATTTAACATGGGGCTAATTTTTAAGCTTACGACAGCCACCCTGACCATACTACTGGACCAGTTATCACCCGGTTGGTACCAAATGGAAGGTGATTGTCTGTATATTTGCCCATTTTGCTTTGATTTTCAGATATTGACTCGAATACTTGATTACTTGACCCACCATACCAGTTTTTTTCATCGAACAGGTGTGGTAGCTCTGCAAATCAACACACACAGACATCACTTTAAAAACTACTTTTTTTTGTTCAAGGGGACCCAAAAATTTTATCTCCACCCAAAACTTTAAAGTTTTGACAAAAAACCATACTTTCTCCATAATTATGTATGGAGTAGAAGAAAGTAAAAATGCATTCCTTCAGCTGTCAGATTTTGACAGAAATAATTTTGATTTCATTTGAAACTATAATTTTATTAATTTTCCCAGCTTTGCTTATTGTTTGGTTGCACAAAATACCTGTAAAGAATAGGCTACATTCTATTTGTATTGTAAACAGTTCTATTATCAGCAGTCTTTGACTTGCAAGTATTAATTTAGAAAACAAAACTTTCGGTGAAAGTGCACTTCTGGTGGTCCGTTTCTAGCCTCCCATTGTTAAAAATGCACAATGAGCTCCAGATGGAGTTAAGCAGCTTTTGAAGAGGTTTAACTACAGAACAATGCAAAAGAGTGACTGTCCTCTACTTGTCAAATGCACTGGAAGCCCACACTTTCCTTTCCAGGTCAATGGATTATTTTTTAATACAACAGAAGTCATATCTAACTATAAAACTGATTTTATTTATACAGGGTATTTCAGAATTCATGTTGGATACTTTATTGTATTTTTTTTCAAATTTAAACATTTACAGACACACACAACCAATATTTTTGTATCTTATAACTTTTTAGCTTACTAAACATTGTATTCTGAAACACCCTGTATATAGCTAGACTGTGTTGTTAAAATATGTATTTAAAACATTATCTATGACTGTTTTCAATCAATGTTCAATTGGTTAAATTTGTGATTTAAAGTTTTTGTTTTAATTTTTAAATCTGTTTTGAAAAAGAACCTAAATTAGGATAAACATTTTTCTAGAAAAAAAACTTAAGTGTTAACATTATAACAATCGACCTAAGAGACTGAGATCAATTAAAATAAGTAAATGTCTGTTCAGCATTACTACACTTTCAAAAATGTTGCCCAAAACTAATTAGTTGACAAAGTATTTAAAAATAAAAAAGTCTTAAATAAAATTAAAGGTTTCTAAAATTTAGATGATTAAAAACTCAAACAAGCTTTATTTTAAATTGTCCAATGCCAAACATATCTTAAGCCTAAAACCAACACAATTTTTATCTGTGTACCTAAGTTTTTTTTTCTGCAAATAGTAATATATAGTAATGAGTGAGAGTAATTATATATTTAATTTTAATAACCTTTTATTTGACCCTTTGTCCCTTTATTGCCTTTATTACAAAACCTTATTAATTCTGATACAAAAAACAAAAAACCAGTCATGTTATAATCCTGGCTTACAATTATTAATTGTTAAACATCTATTTTACTATAAACAACATTTTCTGAAACACCCCAAGGCTGTATCTTGAATTTTTTTGCTACCCCATTTCTTTCGGTGTTAACGATACAACAACAATACAAACAACACAACAACAAACAATACAACAAACAACAATATAAAAGTACAATATACATCTTTCAGGGCCAATTGTATTTTTTTTCATTGTTCTGTTTTTTTTTTATTTGAAAGAAATTTGCAGGTTGATAAAACTACATGAATATTGAACCAAACAAAATTTGTTAAAATTTAAGAGGAATTTCCTCACACAAAATCCCAAAAGCCTATCGCGCTAAATCAATAAATTATAGTATCGGAATAGAGGTAATAATTAAGTAACCTGCTAGCATCCTGTCAAATGCTATTTATGCATGAAGGTCTGACAACTTATCAAGTATGCTGATAGCATCAGTTATGCATGTAATACCAGTATGCAATATGCAATTTGTTGCATCAATCTGTCCGCAATCAGGCCAAGGTGTCAGCTGTTGGTTATAGGAACAGCTGTTTTACTTTCTCTCTCTCTCTCTCTCTCACTCTGCTAATGTTATGTGTATCAACATTATCCTACTACTGTCTTGATGGTAATTGTACAGTTTGTAGCGAATTTCCATATAAGGAAGTAGCTATTACCGTAGGTGGCACTGTAAGACCTAGGCTCGGGACCGATTTACTTTTTCATTTTGATGTCCCCAGAGGCCAAAAACACCATTCGCTAAAATTTTAATATATGTATATATATATATCTAAAAATAGAAATATGATATATATATATATATATATATATATATATATATATATATATATATATGTGTGTGTGTGTCCGTCCAGACAATAACTTGAGTAATTTTTTTCCGATTTTGATAAAATTTGGTTTGAAGGTGTAAGGTGGGATAAACTTGAATGACTTTGCGAAACAGCATAATCAGCCCATGGGAACGGGGTTTAACGGGGTGTTTTATGGGGTAAAACTGGGGTTTTCTCATTTTTTACACTTATAACACAAAATTTATCAATTGTTCTCCAGACCTTATTAAAGAGCTTAAAAAACAAATAATTTAGTATATCAAAGTGTTTTTGTACAGTGATTGGTTACGGAGGAAATTAAAAAAATTGTTAATTCAAAATTCCCATGTTATTCTTATGGAGATTATTGTAAAATGTTGTAGTTGCCTTGTTTATGGATATATTTTGATCAAACTTGGTGGATTTATTTATTTCATACTAAGTTATTGATATTTTAATAAAAAACACACTTTATTAGTTTCCCTGTCTAGGTACTTGTTAAATATAAATGTAAATTTAATAGATTAATTGAAAATCAATCCAGACAAATGGAAATTCACTTAGTTGGTAGGTTTGCTGCAGCGGGGCTATTAGACTTGAAAATACTGTGGGATGACAAGAAAGTAACAATTAAATGCTGAAGTATTTTGGGATCATTTTATAGTTTTATCTATGAGCAGTCAATGTTCTAGGAGAGTTATATGTGATTTACCATTTGAAATTTATAGATGAGAAGAAGAAATACAGCCCATCAGTTTTTTCTCTAACAAACAATATTGTAAAAGGTGAACATAAATATCCTTTTCCTATTACATTAATATGTTGGTTTCGCATTTTTAACACAAAGTTTTTTTTATATCAAATGAAATTAATTAAGTGTTTTTAATTTAATTTCTAGCAGACTCCTGTATCAGCAAATGTACCTTTACCTTAGTTACCTTTAAAAACCTTACCTTTAGTTGTTGTATTTGTTCTCAACTATTTAAAATGTGAATATATATTTAACTTATTTTATTCTTTGTATGCACTCACTTTAAATTTGTAATGTAGGCCAATTATTTCAACACAACAATTTACATTATATAATTTCATCATAATACAACCAGAATGTTTTTAGTGTTTTAGCACATGTATGCATTCGGGCTTACACATTTTAATAATTTTGTTACTCTACTGAAAGATATTTTATCTACTGGGGAATCCTTATAACCAAATAAACAAAAGTTTCAATCTCTCAAATTTTAGTGAGTAAATTCTTCAATTTTGACATTTAAAAATTTTTCAAAATTTCTAAAAGGTATGTTGAAAAATATTATAAATAAAGTTATAAGAATGCCCTTCGAGCTTTTCTTTACGAAAAAAATTGCTGTAAAGATTTTCAATTAAAAAAACCTAACTATATATTTTGTAAAATTGTTAAGAACTCGCTTCTGTGTAACTGAGTTACTTTCTATCTTTGACATTCGGGGAGCGAGCTGGTCTAGTGGTAAGAGCGCAGGACTCCTGTTCCTGGGGTCCCGGGTTAAAGTCCCGCCAAATCACCAATTGATTTTATCTAAGTGATAATGCCGTATCCCCTAGGTCTAGCCTGAAGTAATGTTAAAAACAATTTCGAGCTTGTGCCTAGCGTCCTAGGACAAAAACATCTTTAACATTCAATTATCTCCTTATACCTACTTTGTACTCATTCAGTGTTAGTGATTTGTCATCTCATGGAAGTTGTAATGTACACTGTCTCTATTACTCTATGTACCTACGCATAACTACATACTCTATGGAGTTGTAAGTGTCAGCTATATAACGGCCAGGTGCAGGAAGCAGTGGGCAGTGACAACCTTGCCCAATGCCCGTGGGTCGACCCTGCCCTCCGCACTTCACCTTTCTTTGCCCACTTCTACACACTCACCTTCATCAAGGTCTTAAGCTACCAAAATTGCAAGGTGTACTAACTTTGATTAGCTCTTAAGATGTTGGATTTTTCCTAAATGGCCAAATTTTTTTGTATGTATTTTTTTATGTAGATTAGTCCTAGAGAGTCGCGGCATTATTACATAGATAAAATCCGATTGGGGATTGGCTGGATTTGAATCCGGGACCTCAGGCTTCAAAGCCCTGCGCTCTAACACTTAACCTACTCACTCCCCCATATGGCCAAATTATACGTTATTTTACACTAGTCAATCATTCGTAAATTTTCAATACATATTAATTATTTCATTATTTCCCTCCAAGTTTTTTACTACATAAAGCTAAGGTTTTACAAAATTTTCAAAAGAGAATTTTTCAAAATTAACATGACAAATAGGTTTTGTTTTGAGAAAAGATTTATTAATATAAATATTTTTAATTCTCGATCTACTTGTAGAGAAGAACATTTTTTGTACAGTGGAAAATTTCCTTATGGGAGGACCGAGTGCTTTCAGCTCTAGTAAGTTGCGCGGGAAATATATACTTGTTACAAGGAAAAGCCCAAAAGGCGAGCACTGAGCAGAAATTCTTATCGCACAGGGCACATAGTCTTCTTCCACCATGAGCGTTGTAGTACATGTTGGTGAGGAGGGTGGTGTTGGACTTTCTCCTAGACACCAGCGACCCGGAGCTACTAATGCTAGACACAATTTTAGTTTACCATTGAATGTTACCAATATACTTAACTTCTCTCTGATCTACTTTACAAAATGTTGCCTACTGTAACACAGAGTAGGAAGGTATGGTAAATAAGCTGGTTGTCGTAGTTTTTGGCAATGCATTTTTGGAAATGAAGTATAGGTTTTAACTGATTACGTTTGGCTACAACTAACAAAATAGCGTATAACTATAATAAATAGCGCAGTTAAAAAATTATTTGTAGGTCTATTGTAAATTACATGTAATTAACATTTTTGTAATTTACATTTTAAATAAGGCATTTTAAAGGTGAATATTTTTAAGAGTTGAAATGAAACAATGGTTCTCATCTCAATGATGAGTTGGGACCTCATTAAATCAGCAGAGAGCTCTTATGAGTATGAAGATGTTTTGTAATAAGCAAACTGTCTTAACCAAGTGTTAATACATGTTGTACTCTCTAAATAATAAGTTAGTAACACAGTATTTTGTAAAGATGAAAAAACAGTTTTTAACATTATATTTATTTTAGTTTAAGAATTTCAAATAGAGGGTTTCAACTACTTTTGGACTTCTTGCAGATAATAACGATGATAATTATGTTATAAGATTTTTTGTAATAGCTATTTACATTACAAGTGTAGTAAGAGCGTTTTTACATCACGCAGGTGAATGTTGTGCAACGAGCGAAAGCGAGTTGCATAATTCACCAAAGTGATGTAAACACGCTCTTGCGTAACGTGTAACGTACAAGATTTTACCTGACCCGACAATATACAGGAGGTTACGAGCAATATGCTTCATTATCCATTTCACTCATCTTCTAACAGTAACGTTCGTTTACAAACAAAAGCTAGGTTAGGAAAATTCTTCAAAGCATTAACAATAAAATTCAAGCACACAGCTGATTTCTAGCGTTGAACGTCGTTGGCTCCATAGAGGTATATTTTTTTAAATTATCCACTCAATGTTATTTAAATGGGTTTCATTACCCCACCGAGTGAGTTTTTTTCAACTTTACATCACTCGAGAAGTAACGAAGTTGTATACATCACGCTTTAGGGAAGTTTAACATGGCGGGTTAGGTAAATATAATAAACAGTATCAGCATTCTGACACATACTTTCTCCCATACGTTTGTCAACGACCTTTATCATGTGTAAGCGGTGAGAGTAAATATACGGAAATGGGATTTGTACAATTCTTTTTCAGAATTTAAAGGACTATAACATACCAAATTTTTATCAAAATTGTTCTGGCCATTTTTGGGAAAATCCGATTTTTCCGTTATTTTATGGGGTTTTTATGGGAAAATAACATCATTTACAATAACTTTTAAGCTGTAATTTTTACAGAAATGGGATTTGTAACACTTTGTTCAGAATATAAAGGACTATAACATATTACATTTTTATCAAAATCGTTCAGGCCATTTTTGGGAAAATCCTATTTTTCCGTTATTTTACGGGGTTTATGGAAAAATCCCCATTAAAATGAAAATGTATAAAAAAAACTATCAAAATTGTAAGGACCATAACATACTATGTTAAATCAAAACCGGATTTTTTATAAAATCCTTTTTTTTTTGTTTTATGGAGTGCTTATGGGAAAATAATATAATTTAAAATAACTTTTAACCTGTAATTTTTACAGAAACGGGATTTGTACCATTTTGTTCAGAATATAAAGGACTGTAACATACTAAATTTTTATCAAAATCGTTTAGGCCATTTTTGAGAAAATCTGATTTTTCTATTTTTTATGGGAAAATCCCCCTTAAAAATACAAATTTCAAAAAAATGAAAAAACGCCTGGAGATACCATGGATTAGAACCTACCTACAACTTAACAGCAATAGTCAATGCTATGTAAAATCAAAACACCAAAGTCGTGAAAACCCAGCGGGAGAATCAGCTGTTCAACAATGCATCTTCTCTCTTTCTCTGTTGTGATCACGTTCACTACTGTTCGGAGTTCAGTTTCAGTATGCGCTCGACGCTCGCTCCGTTCACATCGCGTACTCCTCACGGGCGCTCCCTTCTTGCCATGTGACCGTCCTAGACCATGGACACCCGGTACTCTCCCGTCCATGTCAAACCTTCCAGAAGGAAACGCACCTTGGATAAACTCAAGACATGTGCTCCTTACGTTCCTTGTTTTATATGTGTCGTTGGAATTGTACAGGTAAATGTGTTATGTTATTGATTGTAATAATATGTCTAGTTTGAAAATCAGTAATTAATATATTAATTTATTTACACAACAAATTCAATATATAAACACTTTGAGAACACATTCTCTCTTAAAAGATTGGTCATCCTTTTGGATCAGATGAATGATTTTAAGGTAGTTTTCTCTTTGTAAAAGAGGAGTTTATTGTGATTATTAGTATTAGTGTATTGATATTATAGCGACTTTTATTATTTTACAAATACAGCCATAAATGTAATGATAATTTTATCATTACCAAAGAGAAAACTTATAATACTTGTCAAATTAATCTTGCAATAAGACTAAAGCGTTTAGACGATATCAGCCATATGAAACATTACCTGATAAGAACATGCAAAAAAACTTCGCATTTTATAAAGTATGAAAATGCTACTTTCAGTGCAAAAAGTAAAAACATACTTTTACGTAAAATTAATATTTGAGAGGTTTAAGTTCCGGATCACTATAGTTGAACTGTGTAACTTAACTATTCAATTTGAATTAGCCTACAATAATTCAATATTGCTAAAATAACAAAAGGGCTATTGTCAAATGGTGCCAACACAAAAATTTGAACTAAGGGAATTATACCGAATGTTAAACTAAAATACATTAATATTATCAGCATCTATCATAACAGATTTTTAATGCTTAAATGAAAAATTGAATAAATACATTGGAGAATATGTTAGTAGCAAAAATACAAAATTAACGGTGTACAAATTGAATAATGATTCCAATGCTAACAATTAGGTTATTTGTAAACGTTTAGGAATACATAAAATGTCCTCAGTTTTTAAACTCTATTAAAAACTCCGCCTCAATAGAGACAAAGGCTGAAAAGTGAAAAGAATTCTGCGGTCTTATTAAAACGACGGTTTTGACATTTTTCATAATTAAAATCTCGTTTACAGTTCAGTTCCACTTCTTGATTCATGATTATTGCCTCTAAAAATGAATACTACTAATATATTAATATTAAATAATCCTTTGCAATATTCCTGTAGTCAAAAAGTTATAACAAATTAATAAACGTTAATTGTAAATAGCCTATAACTTGTATAAGTTTGTAAATAGGGGTTTATATCTATAGTGTGTATAAATTAACTTGGCAATAATTGTATTTGATAAACTTCAGTTAAATGTCAATTTTCCATTTGTATTTCTGTAATTATTTGTGGTAATATTTTTAGCACTGATTACAAACTGAAACTCCAAAAAGTATGATTTGAAACCTATCATCTGTATCGTTTTGTAGAATAAACAGCTGATTGACATAGTTGCTCATTTCAAACATGTTTTTATAAAACATATGTTTATAAAACATGTGTTTATAAATATGTGTTTATAAAACATGTGTTTATAAAACATGAAATGTTTACAAAACATGTGTTTATATAACTTCTCTTGGCTGTGATGCTGCCTAATATGATCCTAATGCTACCATATATTCATTCAGGTAAAAAGTATTGAATTGAGCTGTTCGATAACATATCCCATTTATAAGAATTCGTTTTAACCATCATTTTCTGAAAACATAGTCGAAGCAAGATCGAGTCATCGGTTTTGATTTTGTAAATTTGTTTTCCCCCTAATTTTTACCCTTAAAACCTTGAAATTCTAATTATCTTTTAAACAATATTGTAGAGATTAAAACAAACAATTTCATACACTGAATCATTTGTTCGTTTAAATGTTACGGATAAAACTCCCACAAAACGTTATAAATTCATACGTTATTTTTATGGAGAAAAGAAAACTGTTGTACGTAAACGAGCATACTACTTTACTGCATTTTGAACCACGGCTATATTTCTGTGTGAGTAGAACATGGAAAAATCATTGTTAGTTTCCACTCTTTTGTGATTCCGTTGCCTCTAGCTCAACATGACCTTTGCCCCAATAATTATCTCCATTGATAAGCCAAGCCACTAATAAGCCACATTATTTTGGAGTGATATATACCTTAGTACGTTTGAGAGTTTTTACATATAAAAATTAATGGTATTAAGTAGTGGTAAGAGTATGCGGTAGTAATAGTTTTGCTTGTAGTAAAATTATCGCCCCAATAACATATTGTATTTGTTTATATAAAAATAGGCATGAAACATGTATTGCTATACGCAAGTTATTATCTTTTTTTGTGTTAACTAAACAATGTTGGAATTGATGTGTACGGTTCTTACTATTGTTTCTGTATTTGTAAGTATAAATACTGCAAACAGAGGAAAAAACGTTTCTTAATTTTGTATCAATATAAGCTAACGACATGTTTACAATAAATAAACTGTCAAAAACTCGTTGAATCCATATATAAACCCCAAAGTACCCATGAAATTTGGAGAAAACTACAAGTCACATCCCCAAAAACCACATACTTAAAATGTTTGTCATGACGAGAAACTTTGCACAAAACTATCCATTATTTCATAAATTGCCTTGGTCGTAATTAATTTCTAAAGGGAACTTTCCTTATACCTAATGTTAAAAAACCTCAGCTGTACTTATTTCTTTGTTATCCTTTCAATTTATTTACCTTATTAAAATAGGGTGTGATTATTTGTTTGTATAGATAGCCCACATAAAGATTTGATGTAACCATTTTTTTTATAATGAACAAGAAAGATCGGGTCTTCGGTAAAAGTATTATAGAGTTTTGATTTTTTTTAATTGTTTATTGTTGTTTTAAATATTCTGTTTTGTTTATTTCAGCTTTACTTAACCAATCAATAGTTTTATTAATACTTATGAAGTCAATCGGGGTGAAGCCCGTGGGTAACAGCTAATTCAACTTTTTTTTGTAAAAATAAAACAAAGCAATTTGTTTGTTGGATTTTCAAAAACTGAATTTGAAACTTTATATTTATCATATTTATTTAATGTGAAAAACTAAACAAATATTTTACCGTTGAGATTTGATCAATGAATAAATTTTGCTACAGTAATACCAACCTACAAAAGAAATTCAGAGGTCGACAAACTGTTGCCAACTGAGCAAATGGCATTAACGATAACGACTGTTTCGTGATAAGTCATGTATAAATTATTGTTTTTCAACAATGAATTCAGCTTTGAACGATAACCGTCAAAGCTTGCATAACATTTTCCTACACATTACTTTACAAATATTGGTGAGTGAAATAACCCAGTCAATTTTATATTACAATGAATTCTCGATTATAAGACCCTCGATAAGAAATCATTCATGAAAAAAGTGTCATTTTTAAATTCACTATAATTTATTTTAACCATAACCACATGTTATTGCAAACTTCGATAAGAAGTCAACCTTGATAACAAAACTTATTTTATAATCCACATTCTTGTTATCAAGGTTCTACCACTATGCCTTATACTAAAAATACCCCCGCCGCAGCAAACCTGCAGACTAAGCGAATTTACATTTGCCTGATTGGATTTAAACTAAGATTTCTCCATAAAAATATCACATTTATTCCCTATTTAAATAACATTAGTTTAATGAGTACTTAGGTTTGCTGCAACAGGGAGGGTAAAAAGGTGTTTTTTTTTGTAAAATGTTAATAGTTTAATATGAAATGAATGCATTTTCCAAATTTGATCAAAATATGATCATATACAAGCAAACTACAACAGTTTACTTATTCTCCATAAGAATAACATGGGAATTTAAAGTTTTTTGGAATTTTCTCCGTAACCATTAGGCGCATAATAACGCTTCAGTATACTAAATTATTTGTTTTTTAAGCTCTACAAAATGATTTGGAAATAAAATGCTAAATTTTAAAGTTTTTATGGTCAAAAATGGGAAAACCCAATTGTTGCCCCTAAAACCCCCTCCCCTGTTCCCATAGCTCGATCATGCTGGTTCGCGAACTAGTTCGAATAAACATAGATTTACACGTTCCAACCAAATTTCATCTCATATGAATTTGAACGGAGGGTGTTTTTGGCCTCTAGGGACCTCAAAACGAAAAAGTAAAACTGTCCCGGGTCCAGGTCTTATCTTGAGACCTACGGTAATAGCTTATTCAGTGTATGGGAAATTCGCTAAAAGGAACCTAAAATTAGTAAACTATAATTAATTATATTTAAATAAGTGTGGTGTACGACGAGGGAGTAAGTGCCGACCGCTGTAAATAAATAATACTTTGCGCCAACCAATGTAAATAAATAGCGTAGTGTTGTTAGTTAGTGATGTAAATAAACTTCACCCTGATAATGCCACATGTGGCAAAATGTACTTCGGACTTCACCATACATCAAGACAACCATAGGCAACCACAAATAATTAGCAACCATAAGACAACCATTAGAATTATCAATAGAAATCGCCACAGGTGCGTATTTTAATCCAAATGAGTGAAGGATGAGTGTAGAATGGTGTGAGATGATCTGTGTAGCTTTGTTACTCACTAAGATCAGCTGTTTTATCAGTCAGGATAATTTATTTAAAGCCCAATGATCAGGGACAGCTGGGTCCAGTTTTGAGCCATCACATATAATTGGTAACCAAATGCAAATCTATTTAATTACATGTTATTGAAACTGGCAATACTACAAACACACGTTCTCCGGTATATCATTATATTTATCTGATTTTGGAGTACTAACAGCATATAAAGATTTAGCCATGAAAAGTTGATTTTAATTTAGTTCAAATTGTGTTTTACAGTATCAAAATTCATCATCTTGGAAAACCCATGTCAATAGAAAATAGTTTAAAAAATGTTAAAACTAGGTCTAAATATTCGGACATCACGTGGAAGTTTACGCGACTCGTCAGGATTTTTTTCAACGACGAGTTATAAAGTTGAGGATCCAAAGGACACGAAGGACACTCCGGTCAAGGATACAGGACTCGTAACCTTACCCTTGCGGTTAATGCTACTACTCACCTCGTATGGTGCAGTCATGTTTTTAGACCTCTTTCTTGGGCCGTCGCCAGCAGCCTGTGGATGACATTGGGAAAAATCTGAAGTTTTGTAAATAAA